ATTCAGAGGAGGTCCTGGGTGAGCATGGCCCTCTTCCTGTGCAAAGGAAGGCAGAGGGTTCCCCGGCTGGAGAAGGGAGAGAGGCAGCCAAAGTCCTCATGTGGGTTCAATATTCTGAGTCCTGGGGGTGGGAGAGCCTGAATCCCATGTTCCCCTGCAACCCCTTTCCATGCACATAACAGGCAGGGGGGAAGCAGAGCTCCAGACCAGCCGTGCTGCTCCCAGGAACAAATCCAGGATCCCCAGGAAAGAGGGTGGGATCTGGGGGAGCCTTCACGCCCCATTTCCTGGGAAAAACCTTGGAGGGGGGGAGAGTTTGCATTGCAAATCTCCAGCAGGAAAGAAGAAAAGCCTTGCAAGGCAGGAGGTGCCCGAGATTGTGTCTGCATTCTCACCATGCGCTGATGAGGCTGAAATAGGGCTGGATCCTCTGCAGTTCAACACATCTTAGGAGGGTGAGTGAACCAGGAGATCCTCTTAAGCTTCCTTCCTTCAAGCCCTGTGCTTTGTGTGAACTCGGCCCCTGTGCTTGGGGGGTCGGTTTGGGCTTAGGGCATGTTGTCTGAACCCGCCTGGGTGTCCTGGTGTGAATTGGCTCTTAAAAGCAAACACTGAAGAAACAGAAGTAGAACATCCCAAGCCAGGCTCATTTCACTGGCATTTCATTGTTCCTGAACTGGACTTTGGTGGTATGTTAACCTGTTTGGGGTTTGGCATGTTGTGTGAATCCCGCTTGTAGGGAAATGTAGATATGGGTTTTTAAAAAGCCAGCCCTTCCTTCTGAGAAAAAGAAACAGAAAATGCTCCAAGATGCATTTATTGGGCATTCCAAGTCCTTCATGGAAGTCAACCCCATATTTTGCAACACACACACAAATAAGCACAGACTCATCTGCTCAATGCCACCCCAGTCCTATACCAGCTCAGAAAAGTGGTGCCCTCCATGGGGATGAGTGTTGTTCAATGGTGAAATCCATCACTTTCTAATTCTTGGAATTTCTTTTCTTTTGCATCTCAGACACAGAAACCAGAAGCCTTTTGTAGGTCTTCGCATACTGACAAAATCCTCTCTTGGGCAAAGAGGGCTGAATGGCCTGCTGTGGTCATTCCTGCAGCTACAGGAACAGTCCTATGAATGAAAAGGCATTTGGAGAGCCACAAGATTCCTCGGACCCCTTTGGAGTTGTGGTACGGGAGAGAGAAAGAATGGAGACACAACCCTTAGCAAGTGAGGGAAGTGGAGAAGGCTCTTCTGCTGTTCAGCCTGGGAGCTGTGGGGAGATCTGGGCAAGAACTGAGCAGAAGGTCCTGGAGGAGGAAACCACCCGTTTAGACGTTCAGCACCAGACCTTCAGGAGCATCCAATACCAGGAGGCTGAGGGTCCCCGAGGACTTTGCAGGCGTATCCACTACTTTTGTCATCAATGGTTGAGACCAGAAAAGCACACAAAGGCGCAGGTGCTGGACCTGGTTGTTCTGG